CCTCTGCTGGCCCTTCCATGAAGCCCCCCATGTTCTGCGGTCCTGCTGGCCACGCTTCTTCAGCTCATGTCACTCCCCTCCCGCCCGCCTTCCCCCCTCCTGCGCCGCCTCCCCTCACCCCGCTCCCTTCCTCCCTTGAACGGCTGACCCCCGTGGCAGGTGTTGGGCCAGGGCGCGGTGCACGGCGCTTTTGGCGGCTTCACGGGCTTCACCACGGGCCTGGTCAACACCCACTACGTGTACCTCCCCATCGAGACCATTATACAGGTAGGCCGCGGGAGGCGAGGGCGGCCAGATCGCCCCTGCAGAGGAGCGACAACTCCGAGCGGGAGGCCGGTCGTGCGCCTACTGACAAGAACCCCCGCTGCACTTCGGTGTGGGTTAAGGACTTGAGCTGCCAGCCGCATGCTGACAGCCGTCCCGGGCAGCTGCCTGTTATTTTTCACGGCACGCCTCCGATTTTTGGGCCGCTCAGGCTGGCACGCGCATCCAGCCAGCGTGCCCAACTCTGGGAACGTCCCCCGCAACCCCAACTCCCTGATACGGCCTGCTGCCCGCGCAGGCGCCCCGGAAGGTCAACCCCACCGGCCGCCGCTGGAACCGGCTGAAGACGGCCATCAACCAGCCAGACCTCATCTGAGCCCAGGCGGCTGCACAGGGCTCAAGACATACGACCATGCGTCCCCGCAAAACGCCACTGCAGCAGCGACAGCAGCACGGCGCCCCGTCGGCGCCCAGCACTCCGGAGCGCCATGTGACTTTGGTGCTTGGTGGGTTTTGGTCGCGGCGCCAGGCTTGCCGCCTGCTCCTTGTTGGTCCAAGCTTTCACCATGCTTTTGGTCCCCGTGGCCCAGCAGGCAGTGCGGCTGAGAGGGCCTGCACCGTGGCAAGGGTGCAGGCGTGCAGCTGCCAAGGCGCCAGCGCAGGTTTTGACCCAAGTACGCTAGATACAGCTTTAGGACTTTTGACTGCATTGAAGTTTTAGGGGAGGCAAACTCCTGTGCTTTGTATGTTGCGCACGTGTGCGTGTGTGTCGGCAGTTTTGGCGCATTGTCGTGGGTTCAAGCAGGGGAGGTCTCGCACACATTTCGTTGGAGGTGTATCCTTTGTTTGGCGCATGTTACCATTGTTTGAGGTGCAAGAACAGCATTAAAAGACAACTGGGTACGCATCATGAAGACGATCTGGCAACCACACCGAGTAAATTGATGTGCTTGGACCTTGATTTGCCAGGGTTCAGTCGTACAGAGCAATACCACGTATTGTGATTGCAGTCCGCACCCAAGGCACCAGGAGGCTATGCTGCCGTGGCACCGCAACATTGCGACACACAGCCCAACAGACTCGTTGCAAGGTTTGGCAACTGCCTGGCTGGGCACTGACACAGATTGTGCCGCCGTGGTCCGGCAGGTGTCGGCTGCCAACTCGGGACACATTACGGTGTTTTCACTTTGGATCTTTTCACAGTCTGAACAGCTTGGTGCACCTAGAAGAGGGCCAGCTGACGCATGAAGGACCTGGCAACGCGCCCCTTCCCGGTAAGACGCTGTGGTCAGCCCCCCCGGTGCTGTGTCGGTGCCCTGGGGCACCGTCAGGGCCCTGCATACCGGGCCGCGATCCGGCATCTGTACATCTGGGGCAACGGGGCTGGCGGGAGCCATGCGAGTGCTCAAGAAAGCGGGACCTGCTTATCTGGGTGCTGCGGATGCTGATCGGCAAAGCACTCCCTGACTGACCAGCTGTGGCCCAAGTGGGAGGCCTGCTGCCCGAACGCCGCGACTCTGCCGTTTCTTCCGTTTGTCGTTGGCGCCGAGGTTTCAGCTTTGAATTACCAGGGGCAAGAGCAAAGATTACCAGGTCAACAAATCAAAGCACAACAACGAGGACAACGAGAACGCAACAGACTATTGGGCAGATAAAGATAAGGTCCTAGGGCGAAGGAACGAGCCAGCCGAACAGGTGGAGAACCTAATTGGAAATCACTGCCAACACCAGTCGGCGAAGGTCACGCAAAGCGTGCAGCACCCTACTCAGCGGGACTCTGTGGTGAGCGAGAGCAACCACGCGACGCCGCCAGGTGCGATGCGTCATGCGGGGCAGCTGGTCCCTCCCGAGTGCTTGGCAGCTCTGCGGCCCCGCCGTTGTGCTGCGAGTGTGCCACCAGGGCGTCCACCTCCGCAGCGCTCATGCCCCTGTCCACGAGCGCCCTCTTGAGCGCCTGCACCGCCGCATTGGCCTTGGCAAGTGCCACGGCCTGCTTCTGCAGCTCGGCCGCCCCTGCGCTCACCTGCTGATAAAGCCTCATGACGGCGGCCTGCCCCTCTGCCGCCGCGCGCCGCTGCTGAGCCAGCTCCTGCTGCGCCGACGCGAGCGCCTGCGCGGACTCCTGCAAACGGCGGCCCTGCTGCAGCAGGTCAGGCGCGGCCACGTTGACGCCGTGCCGTGCCAGCAGCGCGGTGGCCGCGGCGAGCTGCGTCTGTGTGTCGGAAAGCTCAGCAGACACCACGTATGAGCAGCTTTGAGCCTGTCAATCTCATCCTCGCGCCGCTGGCGCTCGTCCTGCATGGCCGCATGGCGGCGCGCGTTGAAGTCTGCCACCACGGCGCTCAGCTTAGACACTGCGGCACTGGTGCCGTCCACCTGCAGGCCGGAGAGGAGCTCTGCGGAGGCGAGAAGGATGGCGTCTTTGAGCATGGCGCGAAGCGTGGCGGAGCGGTCACCGCCAGGGCCGAAACGGGCCACCGCCGCGGACGACTGCTGCTGCCAGTCGCCCTGCTGCCCTGGGGCCGGCTGCCCGCCATGCTGCGCGGCCTTGATCGCCTCCGCGGCAGCCTGCAGCTGCGACCAGTCGGCCAGGCGGCGCAGCGTGTGGCCGGCATCAAATAGAATGTCGATGCGGTCACCGAGCCCGCAGGCGTTGAGGATATCATAAAGCTCCAGAATTGCAGCCGAGGCGAAGCGGGTTGCATCAGCATGCGTCAGGTGATCGGGGTACGCGTCACTCCCGTGCAGCTGCATGGCCCTGAATGGGGCCGCGACCGGCAGCGTGAACGCCATTGTGAGCTTTCCGCGTGCTGCGTTGGCCACGCTGAACGCACGGGACCTGGCGGCCGCGCGCGTGACCTCGTCCCGCTGGGCAGCCTGCGCCTGCCGCGCAGCTGCCACGGCAGCGGCGGCTTCCTGTGGGGTCGCACTAAGGGGGACGTACACGCCTCCCGCCTCAGCGGCGCGGCTATTGCGGCCGTCGCCTCCGCCATGCCGGCCCTGACGGCCGCCCGGGTAGGGGTGGTAGCGAGACCTGTCTTTGCCGTACATGGCTGGGTGGCTTACGTCAGGGCAGGGGTTTGTTTTACCCTGTCCCTGTTGCACCAGGGTGGGGCGTCTTACTTCAGAGCAGGGGTTGGGTGCACCCTGTCTCTGTTGCGCGTTTATCCAGGTGCCAAAAGTGACTCTGAAACAAGCGTGTTGTGCGGTCGGCTCCTGTCTGGAGGTGGTGGGGGAGAGCAGGACAGATGTGAAGCCAGGAGGAGGGTGAAAGGGTCGTACAGTGAGAGTGTGTGTGAGAGGGCTGGATGCGGACCTGTGTGGCAAGCCACAATGGCCCCCTCAGTCACAGCCCGGCGCAGTCCTCAAGTAGAGTGCATGGGAAACCCCTGATGCTGCCTGGGCGGCGCTGGAAACACACCGCACCAACAGCTGCAGAACGGCATGACTGGCCACGGCCCTAGTCACAGCCTCACAGAATCTACAACCCTCAGGTGAGCGCGCTGCTAGGCAGCGACGCACTCATGGTCCTAAACTACTCAAAGACCTCACTGCAGCTAGTCAAGACGAATGCTAGCCCGAATGGTCCCTCCCACAACTGACCTTGATCGCACAGCCAGTCGTCCGTGTGCCCCTTCTGACTGTCGCGCGACCCAGGAGACGAGTTGACCACACAGCCCACAAGTCCCAGACGAGCAGTCGGTTTCACCGCGAGCAGAGCTTCCGGCAGATCAGAGGAAAGCTCGGGTGGCGCTAAAGCATGACGGACAACACTGCCGTCAAGTGGCGGTTGTATGCCACATGATCTCGGGGAAGCAAGCAACGTACAAGAGGCCAACGGCGTTCGAGTCGGAACTCGAACGCCATAGAGCAGCTGGCCAACAACCCTTGTCTGTTCCACAAAGCAGACAGATGCCATAAGCCAGCTACCAAGCCGCCCGGCTGTCCTGCTACGCCTGGCCCCTGGCCACCCGCCGCTGCCCCAGTGGCAGGTGTCGCCCGCTCCCTCAGCCCAACGGTTCTATGACGCGGACACTCTCACAGCATGACATGGTGAGAGCGGGACATGCATAGGACCTGTGTTGCCCTGCATGTCAGGCGCAAGGGCTTCGACATGCGGAGCACTTCTTCACGCACATCACCACGTTCCCTGGCTGACGCAAACCACTGCACCGCACGACGACAGTTATCGTAGCTGCTGAAGTAGTGCCCAAAGTGCAGACGTGTTGCAGCAATTGCTCAAGGTCTGCCCAAACTGAGCACTGCTTACATAAGTAGTGGAATTGTTCGTTTACTGGCAAGTTCGGACGGTGCCCAATCACACATGAGGTTCACCCTGCACTGTGACCACTTGTCAGCCGCGAGGGGTGACACCGGCAACCTGAGCCTCCATACAGCACGCGCGTGTGCGAACACACGCATGCGCATCCTACCAAGGACCACTGTCAATGTGACACTCATAAAACACGTCAGTGCCAGCAGTGCGGAGGAGTGCAGCGCACGCCCAGCGCAGCGGGCACTGGTGCGCATTCCGCGCTTGCACCCATGTAGTAATGTACACTTGTACAAGCTCTCCCTTTGTGCCCATAACCATGACCTCCCCCGGCACAAAAACTCTGCGTGCAAATATACACAGCGGTGACAACCTTTGCTACGTCAATTGCCCCACAGCTGTACCCTGCAATCAAGCCGAGCAAACCCGAGCAGCTCGTCAGCAGGAAGGAAGCTAGGAGCCGCCGCCGCCAACCGCCCCCTTGACCGCCACCCTGGCAGCGAGGTCTGACAGGTAGGGCCTCGTCGCGGCCGCCACGTAGGCCAGGCGTGCTGCCGTGTCCTGGCTGAGCAGCAGAGCCAGGCGCTCCACCAGGCCCAGCTGTAAGCAGTGGGGTGGGTTCAAATTTGATTTGGTTGGGTGGAGGGTGGGGTTCAAGGGATGGGGGTGGCTTTGGGGCTTGGGGGAGAGGGGTTTGAGGAGAGGAGGGCGCGACTGGGTGCGGCGCAGGGAGGAGGGGCGGGGATGGCAGTCGCAGGGTAAGAGGAGGATTGCATCACGAGTAAGCCAGGACCTTGCGTTGCCCGACGGTGACGAGGGTCGAGGCAGGGTAGGGACGCGCTTTTACCTGACGACGGGTCGGCTGGCGGCGCGAACGCCTTTCAAGCGTGACACACAACACAGCTCAGGAGAGCTCAGCCCAGGCTTGTGATGAGCGCCCGCATGCGCCAGCCTGCAAGTCGCATTTGGCTGTCCTCCAAGCCCCCCCCCCCCACACACACACACACAAACACACACCCACAACTCCGAGGCCTCACCTCAAGGCAGTTGGCCGCCGCAAACGAGAAGAGCTCCTGACGGCGCTCCTTGCCAACCTTCTCCCGCAGGTGCTGCAGCAGTTGAAGGAGCCAGGCAAAGCCAGCGGGAGGAAAACGTGGCATGAGCGTGGACGAGTCAGCACGCTGTCACATATGCCAGCAAACAGAATGTGGCGGCCTGGGCTTGCTCATGGCAAACACTGTTTGCGGCCAAGTATGGGCCCCTCTGCAAGCACTGCTGGAGGCGAAGCCACCCTGGTGCTGGCGCACGCCCAGGCCCCGCACTGCGCAGCGGCCGCGGCGCCAGCCGCACACACCTCGTAGGGGTCTGCCGCGCTGTTCTTCGGCGCCGCCGGCGTGCCGTACACGCTGCCGTGCCGCTGCCACACCGCGATCGCCTCGCCCGCCGGCACGCCCGCCGCCCGCAGGTAGTCCGCGGTGCTGCGCCCGCCGGCCGGCGGCGGCGGCGGCGGCGCGAACCGCGCGACCTCCGGCGGCAGCAGCTCGCCGCCGCCGCCGCCGCCGCCGCTGCCCGATGCCGCGCCGCTGGGGCTGGGGCCCAGGCGCTGTGAGAGCCGCTGGACCTCTGCGAGGGATTTGAATACGTCGCGCTCCAGGGCGTCCACGTCAGCGCGCGCCTGGGGGGCTCGCGAGGCGGTGTCGTCATCGTACCTTGCCGGGGGGTTGGGTTTGAGGGAGTCGCCAGGTGAGAGTTGGGTGAAATGCAGGCAGGGCTCTACACATCCCAGATGGCTCATGCCGGGGGTCGAGCCTGGGGTCGGCCAGCAGAGCCATGGGCATGAAGTTTTCCAGACGCACTGGTGCTGCAACCTGAGCCAGTAGTAGCGACAACAATGCCGCTTATGCAGCAGCATCTAGCCCCTTACACTACCGTCCCTCCCCACACTCGCGCACAAGAAGCACACCCGACCTCAGCTGACGGATACCAACAGGTCTCACGTGCAGCACGTGCGTGCTGCGGCTGAGCCCCGCCCGCTGCCGCTGACAACCGTTCGGCCCGGCGCCTCACCACTGCACCGCCGCCACGGGGTAGGGCGCCTGATCCCGGTCCACGGCGAGCAGCTTGAAGCGCCGCGCACCCTCATAGTGCACCTGGCGGGAATAAGGGGGGAAACGGGGCGCCGCGCGCGGAATTCATTGACAGCTGCGGAGCCGCGCTTCAAGCCACTGTCATTGCATGCGAACCGGCCAATAACGGTGTTTCCACACATCCGAAGTTGAGTGACATACTCCCGCCCTTGCCAGGCCTGCGAGCGTTGTAGGGAGAACCGACGCCCCTCTCACCAGCAGGGTGCCGTCTTGGACCTCATCCACTTTGGTCACCCGCGCGTACACGCCCACGCTTGGTAGACCCCCGACCGACCCCTCCAGCAGCGCCGGCGGCGCCGCGTCGGGGGCGAGCACGTGGCCGAACCGCAGCGCAGGCGGCGCCGGCGGCGCGCGGCGCTCGGCTGCGGGCTGGTTGTTTGGGTCCGCGGCCGCCAGCGCGGCCTCCTGCCGCTGCCGCTGCTGGTCTCGGAATAGAGTGAGGTACCGCGGCTCGAACACTCGGACCGCTCCGGTCTGAAATGATAAGGGGGGGGTGGGGCGAGGGGGGCCGAGTGGGACGGCGCTCACTGGCCCCGGGAGCCGAATCCGGTGCGGACGTATTTGCAGAAACGCATCCGCAGCATCGGCAGCCTGACCGCAAGCATTACAAAATGGACGGCCATGCGGGCTGCTGCATGCCTCCCAGCACGTTGCATGCGCATGTGCCCGTGAAGAGACGGGGTGATGACGTGATGGCCGACAAGGCGCCTGACCCAGTCTGGGTGCCACGCAGAGCGCCACTCACCTGACCAGGGTGCAGACACGTGGGCAGCGCGAAGATCGGCAGGGACACCAGTGACTCGCTGTCCAGCCAATCGTCCCCGCTGCCTGCTGGCGATGCTGCACGTGCGGCGTGGTGGGGCGCCCTCCCGCATCGTGGGCGCGTCAATGCGGCGCTGAGCCAGGTGGCGCGTATGGAAGCGCTTTGTCTTGCGATCGCGCCGCCATTAAGACTGTGAGCACGCGTGCCCAGGTGGGTCGTGTTCATGTCGATCAGGTGATCTGTGGGCACTGTACAGTTGAGTTATACCACAGAGACTGAGCAGGCCATAATGAAACTTAAGCGAACAAGGCTATCACCATTGTCATATGATTGTGACGAACAGTCAGCCCCATCTCTACACTCGATACAGTACCGCTGAGAGTGGCGACCGTCGTAATACTATTATCACGGGAGCGCACATCATTGTAGGCCCACGTAGTCGATTTGTATCTAGCGAGATCATCGGCCCACCCGTTCGCGCCAGCTCCTTGACGGACCTGCTATTCGGCAGTCTGTAGCGCTTAGCTGTGCGATCACTCGCCTTTGAAGGCCGTGGCGCCGCTGACGACCAGCGCGGCAAGCGCCACACCAGCGTGTACGTGTGTGCATCCGCCAAATCCGCCAGGCGCGGTCGCAGGGGCGCGTCAAGCCTAAATCCCGCAAACCCCGTGGGACCCCGGTGGTCGTGTATTCCTGCTGCATCGCTCAGACCGTCGCTGGCCAAGCGCGCGCGCTCGCGGCGCCCTGGCCCTGGGAGAGTCATCCCTCCCGCCAGAACACGCGGGCGGCGGGCCTCGGATAGCTTGTGCATCACCGCGTCGGCGCGGCGCCGCGCGGGGGACCATGGTGGACTTTGGGCGCATCCAGAAGGAGCTGAGGGAGATCGACAATGACAAGGCGTCCGGCGTGGTTGTGGAGGTTGTTGGGGACAACCTCCAGCGGCTGGTGGGCAGCGTGCCGGGGCCCAAGGACACGCCCTACGACGGCGGGGTTTTCAAGGTGCGGGTGCAGGGTTGTGCGATGCAGCGTTCTTGCTATCAGGGGGAATTCGGCGGCCGCGGCGGGTAGAGTTTATAGGCGCGCCGCCATGCTGAGTTGAGGTGTGCTACCTGGTGTTGCTGCGGCGTTGGAACGGATCAGTCAAATGGTTCGAGGGGCGCATTGCTTGGCGGCCTTCACGCTCGCCCACAGCTGCAGCGGCGGCTGGCACCGCCGCCTGCCCCACCAGCAGCCGCACGACCCGCGCGGGCGTGCCCGACGCGCCCCGCCCCACCGATCCACAGCAGCTCACGCTGCACCGCCCGCCAGCCACAAAGTCCCCTGCGCATATGCCTCATCCCTGGAATCCCGCCCCCGAGGCCCTTCTAGACCCTGGACTTGTACGTGCGGCTGACTCATTGTATGCCTCATCGACTCATCCTCGCGCTGACTCACCCTCACCCAAGGTCGACATCCAGCTGGACGACCAGTACCCCTTTGTGCCCCCCAAGATGCGCTTCGTGACGCGCGTCTGGCACCCCAACGTGAGCAGCGCGTCGGGCGCCATCTGCCTCGACATCCTCAAAGACCAGTGGAGCCCCGCGCTCACGCTCAAGACGGCGCTGCTGAGCCTGCAGGTGGGGGTTAGGCACAGGCGCGGCGCCTGGCGCCTGCGTTGTCTTGGAGCGGCAAAGAGAACAGGAGAGG